GCAATTTTATGCCTCTCTTTCCAGTCTGCATGAGGTGTTGCTAAAATTATTCCCATTCCTCACCTGTTTTCACCCATGTTCCTTCTGGTTAATAGTTGTGGCTCACCTTTTTCTGCTCCCAGAGCTGGATGAGGTAGAAAGACTTAAACAAGAGATGCCTTAAAAAACCTGACTTCTGTGAGTATGCTAAAGGGCAGATCATATTCTCTCCTTAAATTAGAAAATTAAACAGAAACCAATACATGTCAAAGATCAAATAGGCAAGGAATAATCTGCTGCTGCAATTACTACCATCAGGGACTGGATCAGTTGATACTTTCTAAATACAGTTTGACATCTCATAAAAATTACAGCTAAACCAACAGAAACTAATTTCTGTTTTTCACAGGTGTCTATAGGTTATAAACACACCTAACTTATTGGTTGTAATAAATGCATAATGGAAGGATATAGTTTAATATAAGCCATAGACCTTCTGAATCACCTGCGAAAATAAACCGAAATGGAGTATTTCTGTCTGTCAGTAACAGTCCTGAAACATTCTGTGGCTTTTGAAAAATTAGTTTTTTAGTGCCCTTTGACTAAATTTTTCTTTTTTTTTTTACTTTCCTTATGATCTAGATGAGAATGGTCTGTCTGGTCACAGAAGCATTTCTCCCAGACTATTTAAGAGTAGATCTGAGCCATTCAAGTGACCTGAACAGTACTGGATAGAACAAAAAATTCTTTTTTTTTTTTTTTTATTTATTGAGATCACAGAACCATAAAATCATTTAGATTGGAAAAGAGCTTTAAGATCATCAAGTCCAATAGTTAACCCATCACTGTCAAATGTTTTCCTCAGGGGTCTTCTTGGGTTGCCTTTTTTTTCCTTCATTTTTCATTTATATTAATTACTAGGAGTTTATTTCAATGCTTTGGTGCTACTCAGAGATTTATTTTGAATCCTTGACAAAATCTTGTGATAATTTCAGATTGTCATGTACATGGTGCAATATTCATAAAATCATTAAGGTTGGAAAAGACTTACTAGACCATCAACTCCTACCCTTGACTAAACACCACCACATCACTTAACAATTGCACTAAGTGTCATGTCCAGACATTACTTGAACACTTCCAGCGAACATAACTCCATCACCTCCCTAGAAGCCCATTCCAATGCTTAACCACACTTTCAACTAATAAATTTTTCATGATGTTCAACCTGAACCTCCTCTAGCACAGCTGGAGGCCATTTCCCCCGGTTCTGCCACTGGTTGCCCTGGAGAAGAAAACGGCTCCCACGTGGCTGCAGCTTCCTTTCAGGCAGCTGTAAGAGGATAAAGCCCCCCCGAGCCTCCTCTTCTCCAGGCTAAACACCCCCAGATCCCTCAGTCACTCTCATAAGACTTGCGCACCAGACCCTTCACCAGCTCTACTGTCCTTCTCTGGACAGGCTCCAGCACCTCAATGTCTTGTGGTGAGGGGCCCAGAACTGGACACAGGATTCAAGATGTGGCCTCACCAATGCAGAGTATAGGGTGGAAATCCCTGCCCTGGTCCTGCTGGCCACACTATTGCTGATCCAGGCCAGGATACCATTGGCCTTCTTGGCCACCTGGGCACTCACATTGGCTCATGTTCAGCTGCTGTCAACCAGCACCCCCATATTCTTCTATGCTTAGCTGCTTTCCAGCTAATCTTCCCCTGCCTGTAGCCCTGCATGGGGTGGTTGTGATCAAAATGCAAGAGCTGGCACTTGGCCTCGAATCTCATATCTGGTCTTGGCCCATTGATCCAGGATGCAGTGGAAAAAAACAGTTGAACACAAATATATGACATATGACTCAAAGTTGTATTTTCACTCTAGCATACACAACTTTATTAATTTCAGGCATGCCTTTCCTGTATCAATAGTCCATTCTAATAATAAACAATAGTAAAAGAATCCAGCATCAGAAAAATAGTATAATTTTTATATAAGATTTATAGAGCTTAAAATGCTGTATTATTCTATATGAAATTAGAAAAACTAATGTATACCAAGCATGTAGGAAATACAGAAGTCTAAATGAGGTAGAACAAATGTGTACTTTTGATCTTTATGATACTGTAGTCACAAGAATATATGAGTCACTTGAGTTAAAATAAAATAGACCATGTCTGATCTGTTGGTAGTAAAGCTGGACAAAAACTGACATAACAAATAATGAGACAGGTCAAAGTTATAACACAGGAAACATCTCTTAATATTTTTTAAAGCAACACTGGACATGTGTAAACTTTAAGTATAGGAAAATACCAGGGATTGTATTTGGCTATAAGCTTTTTCTCTAGGCTGAAACATGGCACAGAAAGTTTCAGAAGAGCATGATCACTCTTTTGTAATTACTGAATGCAATTTATATTTCTCTCAAAACAAAACATCTTCCCTCAGAAGCTTTTTCATGTACTTAAAATCTTTCCTATTAATTATATACACCTTTTTTTCTCCTATAAAAGAAAAAAAATTCTGCATGCACTTTCCTTTTCAGTCCTGTATAAAAAAAAAACAAACCACCATCTATTAAGGAAGAGAGATTTTTTCCCCCGTCGATCTTACTAGATTTTATTTTTCTTAGAGAGAAAGACGTGCAATCAAAAGTCGTGAAGTGACGATTTCCAAACATCTGTGACTAGTCAATGTGGGCCAAAACTGTATCAGGAAATTGATACTGATGAAAAGCAATAGAAATTTGGGGGGAAAAAAAATCAATTGCTTCTTCATTTTACAAGCAAACGATTACATTACTGTAAGATTACATTGGCAGAAGGGAAATAATGAGGTGTATCTCCCCTAGACCCCTAATGACATGTAACAGCACCCTCCATGGGCTCCCAGAGCTGCTGGGGGATGATGATAAATATCTGCTCTCAGAGCAAGGGCTAGCAGCACTTGCTGAGACAGGATGCTGTTTGCTATAGAACCCCAGGTTACAGCCCTGAACAAACTCTGTATGTTAGTAAACTCACAGAAACAGAGACTTGAAGAAAGGATTTTCATAGTAATAAAATCTGTGTAAGAAAATTAGGATCATTAAAATTCAGTAAAGGACTATTAGAAAAAAAAGAGAGCAGCAATAGTTTTAAACAGTTAAATTATGATAGCTATTGCAAAGAAACCCCAATATAATGTTGAAGCATCATATTAATTTCACCAAAAATATAGGGTAACATAAGCCTGAATAGTTGATACCATTTCCCTTCCTTTCCTTACTTTTTTCTGTCAGTGCCTTGCCCTTGAGAGCAGGAAATCTGCTAATACATGGTGTAACCCTATTTCTATTTCGACATAATTTTTGACCTTAGAGCATGACTCCAACATATTTCAACCGATTTCAGCTGTGCTATAAAATCAACAATATCAACATTAAGAATAACTTCCCTTGTAAGCAAAGTTCTATGAGTGGATCAACTGGATTAATACAAAAAATCCATTGTTTTTCTACCAGCATAATAATTTAATAGTAAGGAGTGCTTATCTTTTCATTGAGACTGAAATTCATTCTTGTTTAGACTAGTGTCTAAACTTGGCACATTGCACATATGCTATGGAAATTCCTTTTAAGCCCTACGAAGGATTTAGCACTTTAGAGGGATGCAGGCAATTTATAAGCCTCTGAAATTCACTTTAGAAACTCTAGACGTGCACTGTGGCACCAGTGCTGAGATTCATTGAATTACAGCTACACAGCACAATGTTAGAAATCTCTCAGCCAAGGAAGAGATGGCATCAAACACCAGAGAAGACACAGATGAGGCATATTATAATTTTTTAGTGGCAAAGCACACTAAAACTAATTTTTAGAATCTAAAGCATGGTCAAAGAAACTGCTACCATATGAGGCCTAGTATTCATTTGGTATAGTTTCAAAGACTGCTTGAATTTTTTCAAAATATTTTAAAAAGCTTAATGTGCATTGCTTCAGTTTATGCCACTTCTGGTGATGTGTGTGACATTTTATCTAAGCCTTTCCTATTCACATGGTGTTTCAGATCATCAGACATATGTTAATGCTTTTAGAAATGCGTCCAACAGAAACAAAATGTCAATAACCAAAGTTTGCTATTGGTCCACTATAACTATCTCACTTTTAATTCTTTAAATTCTTTTTTTAATGAAACACACAGAAAAAAATTTTAAAAAATCTGCAATTTAAACAACATAAACACCTAAAATATCAGATGAAGAAAATTAAATTCTCTAAGGACTGTCCTATATATTGCATCATGAAATTAGAGAGGAAAAGGGATCTGTCTGGGCAGAATAAACAAAGGAGTAAGTGTCATAGAAATAATTAGCCCACAGCCCACCTGGGGCAACTGAGAAATATGCTACTGACTTATAACATAAAGTACTTTTAAATACCTCTATTGTAATGTAAGGAAGAAGGCAAAGGCCATTGAACTACCGGAGAAGTGTGGGAAACATCTTACTAATTACAGTGTGTTATTAACCGTGTATAGATATGGCTATGCATTCACAAAACAGAAATGAAGTTGTGTAGTCATAAACAAATAGCCATCAGATAATCATAGAGCATTTTTCATCTGAGAATTACTTGCATTAAGAAAGAAACAACATCATAATTTAGTTGCAACTCTAAATGATCTTTTAGAAGCACTGACTTTTGGGTATTTTTCCCTAAAATATTTATCCTAGAAATGAAATCAGCTTCAGTATCTGCCAAAAATGTTTAATAAGCTGCAAGATAGGAAAATACAGTATTAAAATAGCAAAAAGTTTTGATTCCTTACAGTTACTTTTTTTTTTCCTAAATCTAATTGGGACCAACTGGCCTCATTGCTTCTTATAAACTTAGCAATATATATTCAGAAAAAGGAATAAAAATGAACAGATGTTTCTCCTTAAAGAAGTCAGACAAAGATTTTTCTTACACAATAAATCAGCTGCTAGTGCATTTCCAAGACACTGCTCCAGGCTAACTGTTTAGGTATGGCTTAAAAACCTGGTTTACCTCTGTATGTATCCAAAACTGGTAAAGCAGATTAAACTGTAAATGAACAGCAAACACCGAAGGGGGAATGAAAAGAGCCATGGGCAAGTTGAACATCTGAAAAATGAGAAAGAAAACATACATTAGGTATCTAATTCTAAACTCATGATGATATAATGAAGTACTATCAGGAGCTCAAAGCACTGCACAATACATTTGCTTCTTCTAATACATCCATAATGCAGACATTACATAGTGTACATAGATAGTGATTATTATGTTACTACTTGATGTGCTATAGCAAATGAGACACAAATTGATCCAAAAGAGCTTCCCCACAAGCCAAACTGAGCAAGTAGAAAATACAACATAAGAATTCATATATTCTGGTATTAGATGTTTATGCTGTGTACTATATAGAGCAGACAGCAACATAGCCTTGACAATAAGGGTTGCCCTATAGGGAAGAATTATCACAGATTAAGCAAGGTGCAAATTTATAACACTATAGGTTTTCCATCCAAACTCTCTATATAAGCACCATGAGGGTAAGACAGCTTGCTTGGCTTTCCAAGTTAATTATAATTCTCACCTTAACTTTCTTATTGCATCTCCCATAAAGTCCCAATATAGTGCTCATTCCTAAAAACATGCTAGCATGAAAAAAGTATCAGAAAACTGCTTACTTGGGAAATTCACAATTAATTGTTTAACTGGCTGAGCAACAGAATAAAACTTCTAAGACCTTCATCTGTTAAAAGTTAGTCATTTTTCTTCAGAAAAAGGATGATCTTGAAAGATCTTATCTTCTTATTTTCCCTTTTACCTGATATTGTGTTATATCACCTATACTGAAAAGTTAATACTTCTCTAAAATACAGAGATTTTTCCTAAACTAAACAGTAGCAGAGGTATCTTCAAAACTTTAAATCTCTTTAGCACTCAGGGAATATCTGTTTGGCAACAAGAGCTCCCTGTGAAGCACAGGAAAATTAGAAAAATATATTTCCGAATTACTACTGTCCTTTTCACAAAAAATCAAATCTTTTGACATCCAAGAAGGCAGTCCAATTACCATGACAGGCCTCCTGGACCAGGAATTCCTTTAGTGTAGGTCTGGGTATAGCATGTAAAACCAGTATTCTCTCAGTTTTAGCCAACAGGGCTGCCCAATAGATTAGAAGTCACACTGAGGCTGTGAAACAGCTGCACTTCCACCCCAGTGCTGTGACTGATGCTCTTAAGAAAGTCACCACAGACACATCTCACTGTGACAAACCAACTGAGGACTAGGACCTTGCAATATCAGCTTTGTCTGCTGGCTTCAACACCAGACAATGTCTGAAACAGTAGGACAAAACCCTGAAGCCATTGCAGTATCACCTGGCAGGGCTGCGACAGCTGGGATTTCAAAATCTACATTTAAAGGCTTCATGGATCACAGCTGCCCCACAAATTACCTATGGGGTGTTTCTGTTTCTGTCTTGGAAGCTGCTTTCCAAGAAGTAAAGGAATTAAAAGGTAATAGAGGGGGACTAAGTTTCTGTCTAATGGCATGATAACAGCAGGATTTTTTAAAAAAAGGAATGGAGAGGAAATTGATTAAAAAAAGCCCAAAAAACCAAACCAGATGGTTTTCAGATTGTTCATGGAAGTGGTTACAGGATTGAAAGCAAGGTTAAAAAAATTATATGCTTTTTCCCTAAAAGTATCAGAAGCAATTTGGTGGTATTTACAATGACTCAAAGGGGAAAGAAGGATCATCTTCATATTTATTTCCTAACTTACTTTACAGAAGAGTACTAGGATTTCCCTGCTAAGCGGTGGGATGAAGGAAATTTTATATAAATCTATAGGTAAATTTGAAGCTGTCAAAGGAGAATGCTTTACTAACTGCCTCACATTTTCTTGCAGTGTAAGCTTTATTTTGCACAGAAAGGATTTTAAAGATCATTTACGGAAGTCAAACTCATAGGGAGAAATGAAAACTTCTCCCATACCAAGATTTGACTTTTCCTATTTGTGGTTCCACTGAAACAAGAAGAGCAATCTAAGGGAAAAAAAAAAATCATTAAACAGTTCTTTACTGGAAATGCCAGTTCACCAAATCAAAAGATTTCATGGCAATGTACCAGCTTTAACAAGTTTGTATAGGAAAAGCTTTCTTGGCTCTAGAATGAAATTTCTGGTCAAAACTACAAGAAAACTTTTATCACACTGACAGATCTTTTTTCACTTGGGAATTCAGCAGCAGAGATTAGGAAAGCACCCAGAGGGGGTTGCAGAGACATTTGCATCTGGGCTGCCACACTGCAGCTGTTGGTCCCCACTCCAAAGGCATTGCCCCTTTGAAAGGTCCATTGCCCACGCTCCCATGTGAGCATCTCTTCCTTTTTCCTCCCATTTGGAAGTAAAAGGTTATAACCACTTCCACGACAGAAAAGGAGTGCATTGAAACTCCTGAGGTTTAGCAGGAATGCTGAATTTCCATGCTGGGTCTCTGGGGCCACCTGCTGATGCGGCTGCAGAGGATCTGCAGGACATGGGGGGCTGCAGGACAGCTGCTGACAGCAAGTTCGTGTGGGCAGGAACTCCTGGGAGGACTCTGCAGCAGTTAAAGGCATGGATAAAATAAAAAAAAAAAATCAAAAGAGCCAACCCATTTTTTACAGATCCCAGACCTGGCAGACTTGTCAGTAGACAAGTGACTGACTGCAGTGAAAACTGTGTTCCCTATTCCATTTCCAGACTTGTATGTAGATGTTTCCACTGCTTTTATACCAAGGCATAGTTCAACACTTTATCTAAATGTACTGTCTAAAGTGATCAAATTATTATGGATTTAATACTTGCATTAAATCTTACCCTTAAAGTTGAGAATGGTACTCAAAGCATTAAACCATAGCTTTTCAAATAGCATGTGCAAATCTCTCACAACTGCACTCTGACTGTTTTGTCACTTTTACATTCATTTATATAGTATTATCTTGCTTTAGCTTGCTGTCTTCTTCTTAAAAATTAATATACTTTTTTTTGACATCTTTTTTCCCACTAAATGGGGCCTCAACAGTATCTCTCTGTCTACACAGTAGATTTGCTCCTCCATGGCCCCTCCAGTGGAGAAACAGAAACATTGTGTATGCAAAAAACATGAAGCACTATACATTCGGTTCCAAAATCAGGAGTACATCTCACACCACTGATTGTCAAGCATGTTTTTCTATTCTCTTTCATTTCATATTATTTTCAGTCATAGATTAACATGCTGATTTATTTATCTTAAAATGTTTAACTTAAAACACAACAGAGCTGGCAACAGAACAGTCACATAATCCCACACCATCCACCATAAGTTTCTCACACTCTCCACAAAATTTGATGTCAAACCCATTGAACAGTATAGTACACATTCAACAAGATCAGATCAATCTGAGATTAACTAATGACTTCACTGAGTTTCAGCTTCAAGGCAGACCCATCCATGGTTCTGGATAAAACTGTCAGTGCAAAAAAATAGCAGTTCTGTAAGAGTTAGCAAGAATTGTGATCATGCACAATAAGTCATTGCAGAAAGGAAACTGGTGTATGTCTGAAAAGTTCCGGGAGGAGGCAAAACAGTATTTACATTAACCATATGTTTTGGTTAATATCAAATACTTGGTGCAAAAAACCTGGCACACAAAAGTACCATGCATTCCTTGATTCATTTCCCTTTGCACAAAGCATATGAATTTTAAATGCACACATATTATTTGCCAAGTGATATCAGTGTGGTCCTGAGGATGGTCTTTGGAATCCAAGGTGGCCAAACATCTTGGTCTTTCGAGTCTTTTATGCTCTCTGAAGTATCATCCTCAAAATCATGCCATCAGACGAAGTTCTCATATATACACCCATATGTACACACAGGCTTTTTGTCTTTTTTGAATTATTGTTTTTGTTAAGCATTTGCACATATGGTCCCAATGGGTAAATGGGCAAAGGTTAAATCTTTAACATAGCAGTGTTTACAGAGGAAGTAGGGTTGTCACAGACATCCCTTCCGCTATTGTTCATTACAGTAATTTAAATTCTAGGTAATCTTGCTAACATCACATAATTATTTTCTTAATAAATAAACAACAAGAATTTATATAGAAGACATCAAGAAAAAGATCTTAGAAATAGTATTCCTTCATGATTTTCAGAAGAAAATTTCCCTGGAATGTAGCACTTTAACTAATTTAATGTCATGCACTTATGACAGTTACGATCTAGAGACTAAGTCCATGTTCAGTTACATTAGCACAAATCCACTTTACCCAAGTTAATGGAGTTATACTGGATTTCCATGGGTGAGCACACTCTCATGACTTTGAGTCATTTGCTCACAGGCTGGATAGAAAGATTGCCAAAGGACTGTGGGTTTCCTTCACCACCCATATTATATCTCACTGGAGAATATATATAATTATATAATTATATGTATGTATTTATATATGTAAATACATTTAATATCCCTTTTGAACTCTAATTCTGAAAATTAAAATTTGAAGTTCTTAATTTTGAATAATACACAACCAGACAAACTACAATCTGATTAAAAAAAACCAAAACAGTCAAAAGAGAACATGAGGGCTCAACTTAGGAAATCAGCAGTTACCCTGGGTGCAGAACTAAACCCTAAATATTATGTTACATTTATGAATGCATTTGGAAATATATTTTTTTAAATCTGTATATAAATACTGAATATGTACACCGCTCATGATTTCAAATTAATTTTATCTGAAATAATGCTATGTAACATACTGTTCTTACCTACAAGGGTACTGATATGACATGAATGAGCAGAGACGAATAAATCCATAGGCGTGTCCAAAGCAAATTTTAATGATGATTTCTCTCCCTGCTCCTTTTAGCTAGACAGACATATTCTGAAATAGTTAAATTATACTGTTTTTTTTCTGAATTCATGTATGAATAACTGAATGAAAATTCTCCATTCCACTCAAAAAGTTATGAAAATATAAATGCAGAGTTATATAGTTAGCCTTCTTTAATTTTTGTAGCTATTTTCATGTTTGCTGTACAAATTAGTGAACATATTTTAAAACTTATGATTATCAGATTCTTCAGTTTCATCGTCTGTGCCTTCAGCGTCAAGCATCTTTAAAAAATTATGTTTTTCTTTGAAGGGAAATAAATGCTATGTTTTAACTTTTACTAAAACTTGTTGATATTAACTTGTTTGTCAAATCTTGTGCAACTTACCCAGGAGGTGTATTTCTGCAGTAGAGATTGTCTCAAGGCTGTGAATAAGTTGTAATCTTCTGAACTATGGTGTACTTGGTGTGCAGCCCACAGTATATTAACCTCTGCAAAACACAAAATTTCTAATGAGGTTTGTGCTAGAGAAGCAACATTTGTTTCCCAAGGCCTTTTTTTTCTTAAGCTAGAAGCAACTAATCCTCCAATTTACACTTTGCTATTTTACATTAACAAAAAATAAAACCTAATGCTCAAAGCTGAGTTTGTGTAGGCAGGGTTACATGTCTGTCAGTGCACACAAGTCAGTGTAAATTTCATGCTGAAGTAAGGAGAGGCTGTAGCAGGAATTAAAATCATTGCTGGAAGAGCAGAAGGATGTGTGAGATGAGACTTAAACAGCCAGAAAGCCTCATCTTACTTCTGGTAACATGAGTCAGTTGGAGCTCTGTATGGGATTCAGAGGGACAAAGACTGAGGATGCTCTCATGCTTGAACTTGATATATTTAAAGACTAGAAGGGGACACAAAATGTTCCAAAAATCGTATGCATCAAATTTAAACAACTTAACTGGTATCAGCTTTTATGCTTACATTTTTCTGGAATGTGTGAATCTTCAACCCACTTATGCCACAGACCACAAAACACAGCCACTGCCTGCCCACTAGTGACAAATGGAAAAAACAAACTGATGCTTGCTGGGAAGCCTTGACACAGCCAAAGAAGAGCAGTGGCTCTATTGTTACAGTTAAAAAAAAATGCTGGAATATGGGCAAAATCAGTGTCAGCCATGTCCTTCAAAGGCATGATAGCTCTAATGCACTGAAATGAAGAATACTTCAAAACCCTGATTATATTTCAAGGCATTTTCTCACACAAGTGCAGGCCTGGGTAGCCTGTCTGCACTGTATCTGGCCAGTGTGAAGTGGGATATTAAAACAGAAATAGTCGTGGCCATCAGCTATAAGGATTACCTTAATTACAGAATAAAGGAAAAAGCATGCAGTCAATGCAGCCCAAATAATGCCTATTTATCATAATTCTTAATTTAAGGTCTCATGTACTTCAAGGGATGAAGTTGTACACAAAGCCTCAGCCGATTACAGAAATTAAAAGTTGACTGGCTGTCTGCCAGCTGCACACTCCCATTGCCACTGACCTTGTTTCACCGGAGCCATTAGAGAAGTGCCTCTGGCAGACATTAGAATCACATTCAGAAAACTATTTTATAATGGCTGTCTAAAGTCCTGTAATTATTTGCACCCAAGTTTACATCAAATAGTTTAGGTCACATGTACTTCTAGTGTAAAGTAAGTAAAAAAAAATCCTCTTAATGAATCTGAACGTACCTTTACCATTTAGGGGACCAGATAGTCTTGTAACAGGAGGTAACAGTCTTGCATGCTAGCAACTGGGAGTTTTAAATCTAATTAATTTTGACAATTTGGTAATTAACATCACAAAATCATTTTAAAATTATCTCTAAGGCCTTAAAAATACTTAAAATTGCTGAAATAAATGTGTAATTTCAACTATCAAATAACACTTAACACTGAGTCTAAGAATTCTTTCTTCTTTAAAGGCATTTGTTCCTGAAGGAACAAGTGTTCACTATATCAATAATTGGTGATGTCTCTCAAAAAAAAAAAAAAACCACCAAAAAAACACCAACCAAACTCATCTCAATGCCTAATAAACAAACCAGGAAATGAATTATTCAGGTGAGCTTCAGTATTCAATAATAATTTGTGTTTGAAATGTTTCTCAAGACCTCGACAGAAGCTAAATGAGTGAAAAAAGCATCTGAAAAGGTGGAGGTTAAAGACCTGTCTCCTTAGTTGGTTTAAAAGCATTTACTTCCTATCACAAAATGTGTGTAACACAAGCCTCCACTCAATGAAGTACAGCTGTGCAAACAGGGTACAGTAACTGGATCTTTCTTCTTTCCCTCAGTCATTTTTCAACATTATGAAAAGTTCAAGGAAGGGAATCTATGATGATTTTTACAGTCTACTTTCATTGTAGTTAAGGTCAAATGGTTTTCAAAACGAATTACTAAAAAGGCGTTTTATTAGGATTCATTTTTCAGTTAAACTGCCTCTTACACTAACAAGTATATGGAATAAGGTAACCAAATATTGGTGAAATGTTAGTTATTCAGATGTGTGAGCCAGCTTAAATGATCATTCAAAAATGCACCACAGCAATATTGGGGAGATAAACAAACAATTCTTCCACAAGTAATTTAACTGCTACAGCTATTTCTGACTTCTTTCATAGATAAGTAAATTAAATCCTACTACTTAATCCTATTGTTGATGACACCAATGGCACAGACTACATCAAATTCCTTTGAGAAATAGGCAGACTCAATTGGAAAAAAAGATGTATTAACATTAATCTGAAGAAGCTGATCATCAAGAACTTATTTGAAGCAGAAGAATAATATGAATGGGTGAAATAGATCACCCCAAAACTCAGTCTGTAACCATTAGTATATTAAAAATACTACAACTATAATGCCAAAAAGACATCTCTCAAATCTAAGAAACAGACCGAGCATTCTTCATGGAATAAAGCTGACTGCTCACCAACTGCCCACAAGAGAAATGAAATTGTATGTCTCTACAGAAAACTTGTGGTTTCACTTTTTCATTTCTTAAAAGAAAATGAAAAAATTATTTGAATGGGGATAAAATTATAAAAGACTCTTTTACACAGACTTTCTCATATGTATAATTACATAATGACCAATAAAGAAAGGAAGGTTGAGCCAATACCAACACAGATTAAAAAAAAAATCATGCAGAAAACAGGAAGTATTACTGCATTTTATAAAATTATCAAATCCTGCTGTGAAGCCACAGGAAAAAAATAGGCAATGGAATTGGAGAAGCCACTGAGACAGTGTTCTAATGGAATTTTTGATGTTTCATAATTCAAATGTGATTGTTAAATACAATTTAAAAAATAGATAACTTCAATACACTATACCCAAACCCCCTATCTTTGATTGAGGAGAGTGAACCTCATGGAATCATAGGGTAATTCAGGTGGGACAGAACCACCAAAGGTCTCTAGTCCAACATCCTGCTCACAGCAGGACCAGCTTTAAGTTCCTGAGACTCACTTGGGTCTCAGAAGAGAGAGATCCAAGTGCTCTGCATCTGCTGCTATTATGAAGAACTACCTGTCAGTGAAGATGAAGGTAGCATTTCCTTTTCATGTAGCTGTGAGGTAAGTTATAAAAGTTAAAACCCAGGATAGCAAGGGCCTCCTTTCCTGTTGTGGCTTTCCCCAGTTTCCTGTTAATGGAGACATGATGAGCTATTCTCATCTGGGGAACAACAGGGCAACTGCATCTTGGTACTGGACAACCAAAAATTGGTACTTGAATTAACTGGTACTTAAATTGTTGAATTTATTACTATTATTATTACTACTGTTATTACCGACATCTACTTAATCAATTAATATTTCCATCCATCACACAATTTAAAGAATCAGCATGTAATCCCAACAGAGAATAAATGATGCCATGTAGCTAGGTGACAAAGGAAGATTGCTGCTACACAGAAACTGCTGAATGAAGGACAGAGTATGATTTGGCCCTCAGTTTTCATTCTAGCCCTTAAAGCCTCCTTGATGCCATCTCAGAATCAGACCTGCACTTCCTAAAATCGGTGGGCTCCAAGCAGCTGAGAGATTTGTATCCTAAAATTTATTCCAAAAGAAAATGAAGATTTCTCATTTTAGCATTAGTTCAATGTACAGATTCTGTTATTAGAAGAAAAAAAATGAGAGGCTGAGGGAACTGGCCTGGAGAAGCACAGGCTTTGAAGGAACTTACTAGTAGCCTTGTAACAGCAATAAGGCACTGGCTAAGAAGAAGCTGAAGCCAGGCTTTTTTCAGCAGTCCCATTTATCTTCTTTTCTGGATTTTCCAAAATGAAGAAAGATTATTGATGTTATCATTCTTTTGTACTTCTCCATTCCTTTGTCCTCCTAATTAATTCATAAAATGTAATGTTTCACACACTTTCAAAATCATATTGGTAAGATGACCAGTGATTTGACTTAGGCCTAATTTTTTTATTTAAAAATAATTTTTCATTACTAATCAAGTTCCATTCTGGGAAACCCTAAGACAGATCCAATGTCTGGGCCATATTTTATTACTTCTGAAGAATTTTTTTTTTAATAGCAGGAAACATTCATTGTGCACATTAGATTCCTCTTGAAGAATACATAATACAGAGGTGTAAAAATGAGATTTTTTTTTGCTGTTAATTCCAGTAATTTTAAGTAATTTTCATAGCTCAACACATTTTGGTTGACAACAGAAGAAAACATGTATGCCAATAAAAACCTACAGTCATTTTAAGGAGTGATTTCAGTGGAAACAGCCATTTTATGAAATCCTTAGAATCAGTGAAACGGTAAAGATTTGATGTCTCTTTTTTATAAAAGACTAGAAATTAAATTTTAATTAAAATATGCATACAAGCTTTATAATACCTGGATCTTAAGTAATATGGAAAAAAATACAGCTGATGAGTCACTTAAAGTTTCTTTTCTCTCACAGTTAACACTGACTGTAGCCAGGAGAACAGGTGAAAGTTTCCCTTCAGCATCTACTTAAATTTAAACAGAGCCTTCAGTTTTGCTATGCTAGCCATCTTTTAGAATATGGCATGGCCCCAGCTGACACCAGTATGGAATCTGCTGTTCCTAAACCCACAGGGCTTCAGAGGTAGATACTCTGTGCTGCGTTCACCTACAAGCAATCACAAAGGGATCATCTCCTGGGTCTACTTTTCTCTAGTCAGAATTAGTAGAAAGCCCAGGATGACTGAGGAAAGAAAAACAGCCTGAAAGGTAGAAATGTCAGTCATTTCTATGCATTTCAATCCTACCTAAAAAGATAAAAGATAGGAAAATACATAGCATTTAAATAATTTATTTAAATTTAAACTCTTACCTTTTCTGATTCACAAAAAAACCCCAACTGTTTGATTACTCACTACCTTACTGCCTTCTTCTAACTGATGTGTTCGTAGAATCATAGAATCATAGAATATGCTGAGTCGGAAGGGACCTACAAGGATT